ATATTATAGCTTACCGTCAACATATTGTAGCTTACCGTCAACATACTGAATCTCACTATTATTATATATATGAACTCATCACCAACATATTGTAGCTTTCCGTCAACATACTGAATCTCCCTATTAACATATATATGAACTCATCACCAACATATTGTAGCTTACCGTCAACAGATTGTAGCTTACCGTCAACATACTGAATCTCACTATTAACATATATATGAACACATCACAAACATATTGTAGCTTACCGTCAACATATTGTAGCTTACCGTCAACGTATTGTAGCTTACCGTCACCATATTGTAGCTTACCGGCAACATATTGTAGCTTACCGGCAACATATTGTAGCTTACCGGCAACATATTGTAGCTTACAGTCAACATATTGAATCTCACTATTAACATATATATATGAACTCACCATCAAGATATTATAGCTTACCGTCAACATATTGTAACTAACCGTCAACATATTGTAGCTTACCGTCAACATATGGTAGCTTACCGTCAACATATTGTAGCTTACCGTTAACATATTGTAGCTTACCGTCAACATATTGTAGCCTACCGTCAACATATTGTAGCTTACCGTCAACATACTGAATCTCACTACAATCAACATATATAAACTCACCATCAACATATTGTAATTATCGTCAACGTATTGTAGCTTACCGTCAACATATTGTAGCTTACAGTCAACTTATTGAATCTCACTATTAACATATATATGAACTCATCACCAACATATTGTAGCTTACCGTCAACATATTGTAGCTTACAGTCAACATATTGAATTTCACTATTAACATATATATGAACTCACCATCAAGATATTATAGCTTACCGTCAACATATTGTAGCTTACCGTCAGCATATTGAATCTCACTATTAACATATATATGAACTCACCATCAAGATATTATAGCTTACCGTCAACATATTGTATCTAACCGTCAACATATTGTAGCTTACCGTCAACATAGTGAATCTCACTATTAACATATATGTGAACTCATCACCAACATATTGTAGCTTACCGTCAACATACTGAATCTCACTACAATCAACATATATAAACTCACCATCAACATATTGTAATTATCGTCAACGTATTGTAGCTTACCGTCAACATATTGTAGCTTACAGTCAACATATTGAATCTCACTATCAACATATATATATGAACTCACCATCAAGATATTATAGCTTACCGTCGACATATTGTAACTAACCGTCAACATATTGTAGCTTACCGGCAACATATGGTAGCTTACCGTCAACATATTGTAGCTTACAGTCAACATATTGAATCTCACTATTAACATATATATGAACTCATCACCAACATATTGTAGCTTACCGTCAACATACTGAATCTCACTATTAACATATATATGAACCCATCACCAACATATTGGAGCGTACTAGCAACATATTGGAAGTCACCAGCAACACATGCAACATAATAAAAAAAAAACTGAGATACTTTCCCAGTTGTTAGGACTGATGATCATTCACAGTTTGGTATCATTAGGAAAACAATGGTAGGAAGCTGTTTGTGCTTATTTTAGACTGGTATTGAATAGGGACATCACTTTCCTGGTCCAAGTGCACATCTTTGTTGATCACCAAAGTTTAGAAATATGTCATAAGATACTTATTTGTTTACTGCTATCACTGCCTTCCATCCATGAAATAGACCGGGATCCAGTTATATCCATTAGCAGACTTACCATATGTATTATCATGGGCTGATTGAACAATATGCCGTGTTAACTATCATCAAATACATCACTTATCGAACTGCTTAACAATGGTTGACCAAGGCCATGTCTATCTATCCAGGTTGTAGGTTTTTGTCGCGAATATTGTCATCAAGTCGCTTCGAGATCATTTCCCCCAGAACCAACAAAGACAAGTTTAAACCTATACAGGCCGCTAATTCTTTACATTGTATCAGTGTACAAACGATGGCTGTTTGGAAACAGGCTGGATCCCTGGAATTAGTCAGAGATTTGTTGATGGTGGATGATTTAAGAAGATACGCGACGATAGGACCAACACCACCAATACTATATCATTCTGCATTTACTCTGCAAGTGGGTAAACCTTCTGTGCTCAATGTTAATTATTTCCCAATATGCATTGGGTGACGTCACCAGAAAGGTGGAGGAATACAGAGTAAAACATGTTTAAACGTATTTTAGCATTTGCTATATTTCTACATACGCTTTGAAACACTTTACTCGTGATTTTCACTATTGTGTCCTTTAATATGGCCGATTTGTCCTAAATAGCCATATGGAGCAGTTAATGTTGACTTTGTTCGGCTTTCTCTGTCGAATAATTTCATCTTTTTACACCATTCATAGAGTCTTAATTAAAAGGTCGAAATTATCAATGTAACGGGATCAGAAGGCGTGACTACATCACATCGTGAACGTTACGAGGACTATGCCAGGTAACGGCTGTTACAGTATCTAGTCCAGTCATCGTCCTTGTTAACTTGACCCCATTTCTACTCTTATCTATTGATGACATACAGTTACGGATGTCCACGGCAGCTGTTCCCGATATCACGCGTGCTATAAAGTTTGTGTGATGATACATTTGATGGATCTATTGTGTTATGTCTAGAGCTCTATATTTATGCATAAATTGGAATATCATTCGAGGAAATCATATAGATAAAAACATATACTGCAGCATCAACGCAAACTATTTTTACATATACATAAGGTTTGAACGGCAGTTTTTTTTAAATTTTCATGCCGGTATGTTAAGTTGGACCCCGGGTCAGTTTTCAACGTTGAAAAAGGAACCTAACGTAAGTTCGTTTTTGAATACACGTTGAAAAACGACCCCCATTGAAAAGTGAACCATATGAAAAATTGATATATTGATTTGAAATATCTACTTAGATTATACTTAATGAAGTCCAGCGTCTTATTTCCAGAAATAAACTCAGCATTGATGTCTGACCTGATAAGGTCAGTGTGATGTACTTTTGGAAATTTGACCTACATTGTAAAAATGTTGTGATCGGGTTAGGAATCGGGTTAAGAAATAAACATTAAACTGTAATTTGACCAAATTGGGTCACTGTTACCTAGTTTTATTTAAGTTCAATTCTGAACCCAATGGCAATTTTGAGTAATCTAGGTCAATTTTCAAAAGTTGGTCACTGACCTAATTAGGTGAAATGACAGTTGTAAGTTCGTTTTGAGCCCTATGGCAATTTTGAGTAATCTAGGTCAATTTTCAAAAGTAGGTCGCAGTGTCCTAATTTGGTTTTCTAAACCCCAATGCAATTTTCAGCAATCCAGGTCAAATTTTCAAAAGTAGGTCACAATGACCGAATAAGATGAAACAACAATTCTGAGGTCATTTCTTAACCCAATGACACTTTTTAGTAATGTAGGTCAATTTTCAATTTACCTAATTAAGGTTAACAGAATGTGCATATTTCTGAACCCCATCATAATTTCTGTTCTTGTGTTTCAAATATTGAGTAATAGGTTAAACTGACCTAATTTGGTTGCACGATGGACGCATAGGTACATGAGATCATTTTGGTACTTTCAACGGCCTACACGTGGAAAAAATGACCCTCTTATTGGGTCCATTTTCAACGGGAGAGTCAGTTTTCAACGGCTCCCCGGTTCCATTTTCAACGGGGGTCAATTTTCAACGTTACACCGGAATGAAAATCAAAACAACGCCGTTCAATCCATATACTTACATATTTACTATAGAACAAATATGTAGTTTTATTGATTTGTTCTTAAATAATTAATTTATTTACTGCGTTTTGTTTATGTGTCGTCCTTTAAACGACATAGGCGGAACAGCCCTATTTTAATCAAATTGGCGGCAATAATTAATCGTAGTCATTTGAGTGTTTGACGTAGGGGCATTTTCCATGTTATCCGAAGCGAAGCGACAAAACTCTCATTGAACAAGGTTAATCCATGACGTCATAAGTAAACCATGTGATACGTCACGAGGGTTTTTGCTTTCATACTCAAATGAAATGCATTTCTGCTGGTAATGTTCAAATAGTGGGTTGCAACGCAAATGTAAATATATGGATTTGTACAACCGTTTTACAATTTGTTGGATATTAATATGTTTCCGTTGTTTATTTTTAAATCATTTAGTAAACTTATCAACATGTTTAAACTTATATTCGTGCAGATGAAGAGGAATGGCTGAACTTCCTATTTATTTATGTTATATGTCTGATGTATGATAATTAAGTTATGATTTTTGTTAAAATACTTTTACTAGTATGTGCAATGTGCAAAACGAAAGCATGCTGAATTTTGATTCACTTTCAAAGTAAGTCAAATCGCTACAAAAATGATGCTTGAAATCCAAAATGGAAAAAAATCATAAGACTGCATTTCTTGCCTATGATGTCCAAACCATACTCAATGATCTGTATGATATGATAGGTATATAGTTTTATCTGCAGAGAAAGCATCTAAAGAATTAATCTGTCTGCACACACTATTATATTACCTGCATGCAGAAAGAACTCGGCTTGCTGAATAACCAGGGACACCCTATACGTACTTTTTCGATTTTTCGGAACACGATATACTAGCAAATCACGCTTCTGTATTAAAATCTATATATATAAGGATACGGATCTGGCTCGTTTGTATTGGATTCTGAAACTTGTACACTCAAGAATCCTTGTATACAACGTTTTATCGCTGGCTCTTCTAGTTGCTCAATCAAGCCATTATCCAAACTTCTCACTACCATTCTCAGTACAATATAGCAAGGGTTGAAGTCGCATTGTTGTACTGTTTACTCAACAAGTGCAATACAGGGTATGTGGATTTTGAATAATTTAAAAGATCTTTTGACCAATCTTGAACACCCTCTTCTCCAAAATGTTTCTCCTTTCAAACCTTTCGTCTTTTAGACCCTTTACATTACCATTCTTAGTGTTATGAGAGCTTTCTTAACACAGAAAGGCGGATGACGATATAAATAAATGGTTGCAAATTACTTTGGAGCATATCATGTGCAAAGTACAACAAAAGCCAGCATTCGAATAGGATCAAACTTTGTCACTCTTATGGCCGATTTGTTTTTGTTTTCATATGAAGCTGACTTTAATTGCGAGCTTACCAGGAATGTTTAAGTTAAGTCTTTCTGGTTTAATGTCTTCTATCTGATATTATATGACTTCTACCTGATATTATATGACTTCTACCTGATATTATATGACTTCTACCTGATATTATATGACTTCTACCTGATATTATATGACTTCTACCTGATATTATATGACTTCTACCTGATATTATATGACTTCTACCTGATATTATATGACTTCTACCTGATATTATATGACTTCTACCTGATATTATATGACTTCTACCTGATATTATATGACTTCTACCTGATATTATATGACTTTGCAGAAATAAAAAGAGAATACAAAGTAAATACTCAAATTAAAGAGCTGCGAAACATTTGAAATTCCAAAAGTTTCAGAAGTACTTCTGTAACATTTCGTTGATGGCGTTCAGACAGTTTTCAGACCAAGCGTCGGATTGATAATTCCAATAGGCCCCAGATGCAATAAAGACGTCATCGAGCGCTGAAGGTTTGTTGACTGTTCTCCAGACCCGTCCCCAGTCGACGCCCGTTTTCCAAATGAAGAAGGATCCATTGTATGGGTTTTCATCCCATTGAGATATCCGCCCGTCTATTGGGAAGGGGATGGTTGTTACAGGAATGTTGTATAGCTTCGATAGGTACAGGTGGGTGTGGCGAATGGCTTCCGTTGAAACGCTGTAATGCCCCGCCCACCTTCGGTCGCCATGTTTCTGTAACTCCCTCCACATAGGATTGGACGTGTATGCCACGAGCAGCACAGCTTTGCCTGTCTTTGCTGATACACCGAAATCATACGTCCAATGTAGAGGGAGGTCTGACTGAATATTACCATGAGACCTAGGCGTCTGATTTTGTCTGTCTGTAACACTCGAAATAATATCCCTCCACCATGGATGGTCATACACCAAATAGATTTTTACAGCCATAAGTTGGGTAATAGTATTAAGATTTTGTTGAATACGTGGCGTCTGTATCACGTCCCAGTTAATTTGAAGCAATGCCGGAATGGGAACAGCCAGTATTACCTTTCGACTACATACTGTGACAAGGTGTCCGGTCGCAGTCCTGTTGAATTTTAAGTTATACCCGGACCGTGTGTTCCTTGTGATACTGATCAGTTTGTGTTTCATGTGCAAGCTGTGATACCTGTAAAGACAACACACATTTGCAATTTCTTTTATTTCGCATAAGAATGTTTTCAATGAAGCAATTTTACATGCTTATTTCAAAGATAAATACAGAAAATGCTAGGGTAGACCTTTAATCACCCGTGCTTTGCCTTTCTTTAAAATGTGGTCATTCAAACAAAAAAATGAAAAAATGAATTTAAACCTTACAAAATATCTACATGTACACAGCACATAATTACACTGTACATAAAGTGCAGGTACTCACCGACTAGTGGTCAGAAATTGTTTTACCAGCTGTTCTGGCAGTTGTTGCATTCCATCCGTTATTGTCATTATTTCATAGTAAGGTAAGGTACCGTTTGCCGACATGAAATACAATCCCGTTGCAGCAGGCATATCCAGATCAAGTGCAAATCCAATAGGAAATATCATTTCTATAGCTTCTGGACTCAAATATTTTCTGTAGAACTCCTGCAATCTACGACAGCAAACCAAATAAAGCATGTACGATGTAGATTTGGGTTTTGTGTAAAAGTAAATTGTTTGAAACAAATGCCATTATACTACAATGAATACATTTGTCCTGTAAATCACACCAAAGAGATTTTACCTCTATCAAAAAATTCAAAGATCGAATCAGAAACGTTTTACCTAAACCTTTTCAGTGGGACTATCTTGCTCTTTTCGACTCCGATTTGTCGGTGTTCATTTTTTAATTGAGGACACACACTTCTGTACATTCGTTATCTTTATTGTTTTCCCACGTAAACTTCGGAGATAAAACAAAATAATACTAGTCTTAGTCAACTTTACAACGTCCTCTAATACAAGTACTATAATACTAGTCTTAGTCAACTTTACAACGTCCTCTGACACAAGTACTATAATACTAGTCTTAGTCAACTTTACAACGTCCTCTAACACAAGTACTATAATACTAGTCTTAGTCAACTTTACAACGTCCTCTAACACAAGTACTATAATACTAGTCTTAATCAACTTTACAACGTCCTCTAACACAAATACAATAACAATCCTACTCGTGTTTGGTTCCTAAATCTGACACGATCCTCTAACACAAATACTATACTAATCCTACTCGTGTTTGGTTCCTAAATCTAACATGATACAAATATGACTCTAGTCATACTCACGTTAGATTTACCAATGGTCCCTCGTCCTCTGATACAAATATACCACTAGTTCTAAACACGTTAGATTTACCAATGGTCCTTCGTCCTCTGATTCAAATGTAACACTAGTTCTACTCACGTTAGATTTACCAAAGGCCCCTCGTCCTCTGATACAAATGTAACACTAGTTCTCCTCACGTTAGATTTACCAATGGTCCCTCGGCCTTGATACAAATATAACACTAGTTCTACTCACGTTAAATTTACCAAAGGACCCTCGTCCTCTGATTCAAATGTAACACTAGTTCTACTCACGTTAGATTTACCAAAGGCCCCTCGTCCTCTGATACAAATGTAACACTAGCTCTACTCACGTTAGATTTACCAACGGTTCCTCGTCCTCTGATACAAATGTAACACTAGTTCTCCTCACGTTAGATTTACCAATGGTCCCTCGGCCTTGATACAAATATAACTCTAGTTCTACTCCCCTTAGATTTACCAACGGTTACTCGTCCTCTGATACAAATATAACACTAGTTCTACTCACGTTAGATTTATCAATGGTCCCTCGTCCTCTGATACAAATGTAACACTAGCTCTACTCACGTTAGATTTACCAACGGTTCCTCGTCCTCTGATACAAATGTAACACTAGTTCTACTCACTTTAGATTTACCAATGGTCCCTCGGCCTTGATACAAATATAACTCTAGTTCTACTCACATTAGATTTACCAACGGTTCCTCGTCCTCTGATACAAATGTAACACTAGTTCTCCTCACGTTAGATTTACCAATGGTCCCTCGGCCTTGATACAAATATAACACTAGTTCTACTCACGTTAAATTTACCAAAGGTGCCTCGTCCTCTGATACAAATGTAACACTAGTTCTACTCACGTTATATTTACCAATGGTCCCTCGTCCTCTGATACAAATAAAACACTAGTTCTACTCACGTAAAATTTACCAATGGTTCCTCGTCCTCTGATACAAATGTAACACTAGTTCTACTCACGTTATATTTACCAATGGTCCCTCGTCCTCTGATACAAATGTAACTCTCGTTCTACTCACGTTAGATTTACCAATGGTCCCCCGGCCTCTGATACAAATGTAACACTAGTTCTACTCACGTTATATTTACCAATGGTCCCTCGTCCTCTGATACAAATGTAACTCTAGTTCTACTCACGTTAGATTTACCAATGGTCCCTCGTCCTCTGATACAAATATAACTCTCGTTCTACTCACGTTTGATTTGACATCAATTCTCCATCCTCTGATATTAGGAAAGGCCGCTCTTGTTCTAGTGAGTCCATATTTCCGCTAAAGTTGGTCTTCTGTGTCAGGTATCTAAATAGGCAAAGCGTTATTTGTATCAATATAGACATCAGATAGTAATGTTGACGATAGCATAGTCCTGATTAAATAATTATATGTATAAACTGAATACCTGTGTATTGACTCCAATCCGTACGACTCGCATGAGCGAAGGTTATAAGGTACATTGTCTGTTCTTAAATCTTCTATGCTTAGACGTCTTCCCCTCAGGTAGAACGAGTCCACGATGCCTGGGTATTTCCGTTCAAATAAGACTGTTCTTAATCCGACCTCCTGTATGGTACGATACAGGACTTTGTGTGTCTCCCTCATGAACCTCATAGCTCCAAGCTCGATCGGGATATCCGGAGCTTGTGGAAAGATGTGCGTGTAGAAGCGACCGCCTAGCCTGTCAGACAACTCGTACAGACCAACATGCAGTCCCCGATGTCTGAGTCGCCACGATGCAAACGCTCCTCCGACCCCACCCCCTACCACCGTCACATCCTCACACCCATCTGTAACAGTCACGTGTGAAAACATTGTACATCGTATCTTAAAGAACAATACAAATAAACAGTGACTCGAGATCTAACTCGTTAAATCTACAGCAAAATAGGAACAAAGGACAGAATAACACGGGGACTTTTGACCGTGTACAAGGAGACTGAAACCAGGTGTTTCGGAAGAGTAAGCGTTTTCTGTTTCATCGACGACACCCTCCATGTCAATCTAGATCAAAAAGTTATTCCTAAAGGCGACAACCTGGGTAATAACAAGGAAACAAAAAGGCACACTAGGGTGCATATTCAATAACGTCGAACTACATAGCGCAAAAACGAAATAGCATCTTTCCCATTGAGATCATGAATGCAACAATATAATCTGCTCCTAGTCTTCCAAAGACAATAAAAGGAACGGGGGCAATAACAAAACACAAGGAAAACGTAATAAACCTCCATAGCAGAACCGTGAAGTGTAAGCGATTCCTGCAAAGCTGTCAATCAGCAAATATCTTTACAGCACAAAGTTCGGCGACAACGATAAAAATAGTTCTTTCTCTGTACTTGATTAGTAGTTGTCAGGAAATAGCAGTAATAGTTATATGATGCCTTCTATACACCTTTTATTGTACGGGAGTATTGAAAGATTTCGTATACTAATGGGGTGCCAAGAATCTGCGTTTAATAGCAAATCAAAAATCATAAATGAATTCAATGCTCTTTACCAAATTGGACCATGGGGCGCAGAGGAAGCCAGATTTTGTATATTGTTTCATTAGTGGCAACAAAATATGCTAAACAAACCTGTTAGAGTATCCACCAGCATAGAACATTTATAGAAAGCTTACTGTTACCCGAACAGTTACCTTGTCATTTGGGTTCAATTCAGTCCAGATCAGCTACAAATCAATGATTGATTTCAAAAGTAGTTTATAGCATGGCGACAAGCTAAACACATATCAACAAGCTGAACAAGTGTCAACAACCTGAACAAGTATCAACAACCTGAACAAGTATCAACAAGCTGAACAAGTATCAACAACCTGAACAAATATCAACAAGCTGAACAAATATCAACAACCTGAACAAGTATCAACAAGCTGAACATGTATCAACAACCTGAACAAATATCAACAACCTGAACAAGTATCAACAAATGCAAAGTAGTATAAATATCAACAACCTGAAAAAGTATCATCAAGCTGAACAAATATCAACAAGCTGAACATGTATCAACAACCTTAACAAATATCAACAAAGGGAAAAGTAGTACAAATATCAACAAGCTGAACAAGTATCAACAAGCTGAACAAGTATCAACAAGCTGAACAAGTATCAACAAGTGGAACATGTAGTAACAACCTGAACAAGTATCAACAACCTGAACAAGTATCAACAAATGGAACAGGTAGTAACAAGCTGAACAAATATCAACCAGTGGATCAAGCAACAAAATGTGGAATAAGTACTAACAAATGGAATATGTATCAACAGGCTGCAAAATGTTCAACAAGTGGAACAAGTAGTAACAAATGGAACAAATATCAACCGGCTGAACAAGTATACACAAGTTGAACATGTAGAAACAAGCTGATCAAGTATACACAAGTTGAACATGTAGAAACAAGCTGATCAAGTATAAGTAAGTGGTACATGTAATAACAATAGGAACATCTAGTAACATATGGAATCAACAAATGAAATCTTTTATATAGATCAGCATCTCTGAAAACGCAGACAATAGTTAAAAATGTACAAAAAAAGTTATAATAAATATTTGACGTAAGGCATATTTGGGAAAGGAACAACTTCATAACAAATAGATTGAAAAATATTTCAACGTCAGCCGTTATTGAACCATAAGAAGGTCTACATTACCTGGTTTAGGCCCCGCACTCACTGTAACGACACACGAGACTACGAGTATAGCTTTGCCGATCATCATCGTCTCTGAGCATTTGTTTGGAGGGGATTACGCATCAGCTTTTACCAACAGTAAATATGGTGATTCACTGTATTGAGGCTGTCTCTACATCAAACTTATCTTCTGTCAATCAGTATACCGGACAGGTGTTGAAGCTCCGATAGGGTTTGGAACACCAACCGTATTTAAATCACCGGAGCAATCAATCCTTACAAAATGTATTCCACAACAACAAACATTACATCACTGATGCCAATAAAAATAACATGAAACAAATGATATGTATGGCTCATCGACAACTTCTGTAGAGGATTGTAATGGGCGTTCGGCGAAGATAGATTCCAGGCCCGATAAAGCAAATATGCACGAAAAGCTGCAGACAAAAATGGCCAATACAAACATATAAAAAAATCTGGTATAGCTCAGCAGATAAAGTTATTCAAACGAACATGTTACTGGTATATCTTAAAGGAAATACATACATACTGTTTTATACAGAAGGTTTGGTTTGGTTTGGTTTAATTTTGTTTAACGTCCTATTAACAGCTAAGGTAATTTAAGGACGTGCCTCCACGTGTTGTATGCGTGCTTGCGTGTGTGTATGCATGAGACAGGATATGTTGGTGCGCGGATCTGATGCCGATTTTATTGGGCATTCTCACTGATATACCATATCGAAGGTACCCAACACAGCATTCTACCCGGTCACATTATACTGACAACGGGTGAACCAGTTGTTGCCATTCCCTTAAATGCTAAACGTTAAGCAGGGAATTATAACTACCATTTTCAGGACTTTGGTATGCCCCGGCCTGGGGAAAGAACCCACTGCCTTCCTCACCTGGGTGAACGTTCAACATTAAAGCCAAAAGTGAGGAATCGCCAAACACGGCGCTAGGAAACAAAAGGTTGTGAGAAGTAGGAAGTAATACAAAGATCCAAGATATTGCAATGGACGCAGCAGATTTATTAAAGTCGCCAATTTTGCAAAAGTTCCTTCATTAGTCGCCTCCTACGATACATGCAGTGGGTAACAGCAGTTGTATTCTTTTCCCGATCCCCCACCTACAGAAGAGCATTAGGGCCATGCAGATTTTTTTTTTCGTTTTTCGTGTTAATAACGAACGATCAATATTCAAGATAATAACACGAAATTTCAAGATACTTACTCGAAATTTCGACTTACTAACTCTAAATTTCGACTTAATAACTCGAAATTTCAAGATAATAACTCGAAATTTCGACTTTTAAAATATCTCAAAATTTCAAGATAAGGATTTTCATACAGTGGGGCGACCTGTCGTTTAGGAAGGTGGTCCAGGGAGGTAGGAACGGTTGGGCTAAGGGGGAGGGAGGGGAGCGATACATCCCGAAGCTGTAGGATTACAAATAAACGAATATTTCATTTTGTGTTTTCTTTTCTTTATTATGAGTATGCATGGTCAATACAAATCTACTGGTTTCGCCTAAATCGCAAAGCGTCTGCCTCTAGAAGGGTGAAATGACCGTTGATAAAATCTAGAAGCGCTTTGGTGCAATCTTGGGCATTTTAAAATGTATTAAAGCTTAATAATTTAACACAGTTTGATGAACTTTGGATTTTATTTCAACCAGATTCTGCCCAATCCGGATCTTTATGTAAACCGGCCAAATTATTTGGTCTTTAATTATTTTACATCATTGATTAAACTCCGGACTAAGTAAACTGGCTTTGTTTCCCGCTCTAATACTCTCTATACAGTATTTAACATTCTTTCTGTTAATCTACATCACGTTCTACTCTAGTTCTGTTCGTTTTCAACTTTCAGTTGACGATATTCACAACAGATATTCGTTTATCATTTTAGTTATCGCCATCGATATGAGCAGAAAAATGTTTATAAAAATATCGTATTATGATATTCGGGAGAGTTGAAAATGACTGGTCAACTCTTAACTCTTTAAATAGACGTTACATCGGTTCACAGAGAGAATATTTATTAATGTTAAGCAGGTTTAGACCAGGAAACAGTGCCGGTTTACAGAATGAGTTCGGAGTTTAATGAATAAAGTTACAGATTTATAGACCAAATACATTTGCCGGTTAACCAAGGATCCAGATTGAACAGATTCTGGTTTTAACAGTTTAATAATTTCGAAATGTCAAATAATTAGGTCGAAATTTCAAGTTATCATCTTAAAATTTTGAGTTATTAAATCGAAATTTCCGTCCATTATCTTGAAATTTCGAGTTATTAACACGAGAAAACGAAATTAATTATTTAAATCAACGTTATACTATCCCATCCGGTACAGCAAATATGTCATATCCTAATAAAAATTAACGCTACACCATCCCTCCCGGTACAGCAAACATATCGTATCCTAATAAAAGTAGACGCTTTACCATCCCTCCCGGTACAGCAAAAATATCGTATCCTAAAAAAATTTCAATGCTTCACCGTCCCTCCCGGTACAGCAAACAGATCATATCCTAATAAAAATCAACCCTATACCATCCCTCCCGGGACAGCAAACATATCGTATCCCAAAAAAATTTCAATGCTTCACCATCCCTCCCGGTACAGCTAACATATCGTATCCTAATAAAAATCAACGCCATACCATCCCTCCCGGTACAGCAAACATATCGTATCTTAAAAAAAAATCAATGCTACACCATCCCTCCCGGTACAGCAAACATATCGTATCCTAAAAAAATTTCAATGCTTCACCATCCCTCCCGGTACAGCAAACATATCATATCCTAATAAAAAATCAACGCTATACCATCCCCCCCGGTACAGCAAACATATCGTATCCAAATAAATTGCAGCGCTATACCATCCCTCCCGGTACAGCAAACATATCACATCCTAATAAAAATCAACGCTTTGCCATCCCTCCCGGTACAGCAAACATATCGTATCCAAATAAATTGCAGCGCTATACCATCCCTCCCGGTACAGCAAACATATCGTATCCAAATAAATTGCAGCGCTATACCATCCCTCCCGGTACAGCAAACATATCATCTCCTAATAAAAATCAACGCTATACCATCCCTCCCGGCACAGCAAACATATCATATCCTAATAAAAATCAACGTTATACCGATCCCTCCCGGTACAGCAAACATATCGTATCCTAATAAAAAATAAACGCTTTACCATCCCTCCCGGTACAGCAAACATATCATATCCTAATAAAAATCAACGCTACACCATCCCTCCCGGTAGAGCAAACATATCATAAACTAATAAAAATCAACGTTATACCATCCCTCCCGCTACAGCAAACATATCATATCCTAATAAAAATCAACGCTATACCATCCCTCCCGGTACAACAAACATATCGTATCCTAAAAAAAATCAATGCTACACCATCCCTCCCGGTACAGCAAACATATCATATCCTAATAAAAAATCAACGCTATACCATCCCCCCCGGTACAGCAAACATATCGTATCCAAATAAATTGCAGCGCTATACCATCCCTCCCGGTACAGCAAACATATCATATCCAAATAAAAATCAACGCTTTACCATCCCTCCCGGTACAGCAAACATATCATATCCTAATAAAAA